CCAGAGCCCTGGGCTAAGAGACAGCCCTCCTCTTCCCAGACCAAGCTCTCGGGAACTACAGGGGTGGGGATCAAAGGACCACAAGCAGGCAGGTTTGGGATTTTAGACGTTTATCTGCATCTCCTCATTCCCAAAGTTCCAGGTGGGCCACACGGGAGGGAGGCCAGGCAGTGCCGCGAGCACCCGGGGACGCCCTGGTCCTGGAGCCCAAGCCAGTTAGTCCCCTCACGTACAAAATGAGGGTGGGGGACCACACGGCCTGCGAGGTGGCTTCGCACCCTGACAGCTGACAAGTCTGTCCTCACAGACAGGTCTGGGAGGGAGGAAAACTGTCAGGGCTGGTGAGTTAGAGCTCAGAGCTCCCGGGGCTGGGAGACTCATCCATCAGCTGTCGCAGGTGAGAGGCCGCCTTGTCCAGTTTCAGTAATTCCAGCTGGAGACAAGACAGCTGGACGAGAGGAGGAAGGCGAGGACCCGTGAGCGGCCCGTCCCTCCCAGCCCACATTCCCTCGGGGCCAGGCTTCCCGGTGGCCTCTCCCGAACCTCACCCTTTGCTGCCTCTGGGTCTCTGCCTCCCCGTCTGATGGGGTCCGTGCTATGAGACCATCAAGCTGCTTCTGCAACTTGTGCCTTCGGGCGGCCAGCAGAGGTAGATGGGCCCGGGGGTCCACCAGGCCCTGGAGGAGAGCAGGGAGGGGAGGCTCAGACAGCGGCTGCCGGCCCAGGGCTGGGCGCTCCACCCTAAGGCCCCTCCCACCTGCACACCCCTCCACCCGGCATTCTCCCCTGCATCCCTCTGGTCACCTGAAGCTCCATGTAGACCTGAGTGGAGCCACCGAGCGAGGCCTGGGCCCAGTGGGAGGGAGCTGCTGCACCCGGGGGTAACAAGCCCACGGCCCCACAGTGGCTCAGGGTGCCCAGGGGCTCCAGGAAAGCCCCAAAGAGGTCCCGCTCTCCAGGCTCCGAGCTCTGCAGTAGCACTGGGGGCAGGGGGATGGTCAGGATCATGCCTTCGGCTCCTCCCCCCCATCCCGTCCTCCGGACTCTGGGGGTCTGCCCTCCAGGCCCCTCCCCGTTCCCCACCAAGCACTCCTTCCCGTGGGGACCAGGAGCCCAGGGCCAGGACCTGCCTCACCTCGGGGCCGGGCTCTGGTGAGCTGGTACGTGGCTCGGAGCGTCCGCAGCACCTGCACGGCCTCCTGGACCCGAGAGAAGCGCCGCTCCAGCTCAGGCTGGTGCCAGGACTCCTGGAACAGGAAGACCCGAGCTGGCCAAGGGGCCCCACCCAGCCACCACCACCTCCCAGCACACAGGGCTCTGCCTGCCCTCCACGCCACACACAAAGCTCTCAGAACATGGCCGAAAGTGAGGACTCCTCTAAGAATGTTCTAGATGACCAATGGCTGATGTCTGTTTAGTTGCTCTGATTGAAGGTGGTAAACCAAAAATAAATTAGAATTTAAAATGTATTATTCCAAATCCATAAAGTAAGTACAAAAAAATTTTAAGTTTGGGACCAGCAGTTAGCGTAATGGCTATGTCGCTGGACTCCCACAAAGTCGACCGCAGTTCATGTCCCAGACCCGGTGGCTTAAACTCATGCCGGGCGCGTGTGCGTGCGTGCCCAAGATCCCAAGAGGAGAATGGAGGAGAAGGGATTGCAGCATGGCCATCCCCCCTGGGGGGTGATTTCTCGCTTTCTGTCTCTATGTCTGCTGGCGAGTGCATGCGCCCTATAGCAAAAAAACCCTCTCCAAAAAAAAAAATTTTTTTTTAAGTTAAACTAAAATAACTGTTTGGGTGGGTGCCACCTGCAGCATTTATGCTCCTGAAGTGGTGAAAGCCCCTGAGGTTTGGGGAGCACCTGGTTACTAAGTCCAGCCACTACCGGGCCCATCACACGTACGACCTGACCTGAGTGTGGGAACTGGCACGGCCACACAGCCACGAGAGCCAGCCCAGCGGCCGCCCTGCTCCCAAGTGCTAGGCTAAGACCGCCTCCAAGGCCCCAGGGTTATCCCCACGGTGCGGGATCGAGTCATGCCCCCATGGACCGATGTGACGCACGCGCCACCGCCGAGACCCCTCG